GTGCGAACCACAGGGGTATTAGCCTAACGCCAGTTGTGACAAAATTACTGGCCTCGATTATCGTTCGTCGTCTCACTGCAGAACGGGAATCTCGGATTAGAGAAGAGCAGGCCGGTTTTCGCCCAGGACGTGGCTGTATAGACCATATATTTACTTTGAGGGCAGGTGCTAGAGCAGCGCCACGCATACCGCAGACCGACAATAGCTGTGTTCCTCGATTTCAAGAGTGCGTTCGATTCAGTCGATCGATCGATTCTGTTCGAAATACTTGCGCGAAAAGGTGTTCCCACGAAATATGTGAACATCCTTCGTGCTCTATACTCGAACACTAGAGGCCGCGTCAGGGTCTATGGTGCCCTATCGGATAGCTTTTCGACTACAAGTGGCGTTCGACAGGGTTGTCCGATTTCCCCATTTTTGTTCAATTTCGTCGTGGATTCTATCATGGAGTGTTCCCTTGCGGAATCTCACGATGTAGGTGTTGAAGTGCTGCCTGGTGAACGGTTAGTTGATCTAGATTATGCGGACGATATCGTCTTGCTTTTCGACAATGTTGAGGCGGCACAATCAACACTGGATAGCCTATCCAGAGTGGTCCCATTATTTGGTATGCACTTCGCACCTTCAAAGTGCAAAGTGTTGCTGCAGGACCACCAGCCACTCGATGACCCCTTGACGCTTGCTAACGAGGAACTCGATGTAGTTGATCAATTCACTTATCTTGGCAGCTGCATCAGCAATGATGGGCGCATAGAAACTGACGTGAGCTCACGCATTACAAAGGCTAGAGCTGCCTTTTTGAACCTGCGTCATCTTTGGCGACAGAAGGGAGTTTCCCTCCGTCTGAAAGGCCGTGTATACAAGGCCACAGTGAGGGCCGTTCTGCTCTATGGTAGTGAGACTTGGCCCCTTCGGTCTGAAGATTTGAGGCGCCTTCAAGTCTTTGATCATCGTTGTCTGCGAAGCATTGCTGGTGTCGGATGGCACCAGCGTGTCCGCAACGATGATGTGCGTAGGCGAGTACTAGGTGGTGATGATCATGCTAGCTCGCTAGAACAAAAGATAGCACTGAATAAGTTACGTTGGCTCGGGCACGTGCTACGCATGCCTGGTCACCGCTTACCTAGGAGGGCCTTGTTCAGTCTACCAGGTGTGGGATGGCGCAAGGCTCGAGGTGGACAGAAGTTGACTTGGCAGCGGGAAATGAAGTCACTGACGACCAAACTGAGTGCCGTTGGTCCGTCTCGCCTTCCGGGTTGGAGCCCACGTGACTCACCTTGTGCTTGGCTCGAGACTTTACAGGACATGGCTCGCAACCGACACCAGTGGCGCGTCTGCTGCCGTCTCCTAATTGGATTGTCTGTTTAAAGTGTGTTTGGTGCTGAGTTATCTGCGGGGTAATGGCTGATTATGACGCGTGGCAGTGAAAGCCGCAAGGAAGCTGTCTCGCCGATGCCGCCTTATCTTTGCACGATAGCCAGCTGTTTGTGACGGAATGTTGTTAACACAAGGTGTAGGCGCCTTGACCCTGAATGTTTGCTTAGGGCATTAAGGTTTTCAGGTAAGTCCCCCTTCTCTCCCTCTTCTTGTTCTTTATTTCTTAGGTCCTCATGGTTGTATGGCAGCGAAGCATCAGTTCAAATGGCTGATGTACTGCTGTTGATGATGATGATGATGATGATGGCTCACAGCCGTATGGTCGCATGCCTTGTGCTTTGCACTTCTATTTCCCCTTAACAATGAGTTTGGGAAACACTTTACTTTTAGGCTGCTCATTGGAGCGTTTTTCTTATTCATCCGTGCCTTTTGATTCTGCCGTTCCCTTACTATTTCCTACTAACCATTTGGTTATTGTTTAGTTGCTTAGGCCGTTGGCCGTCGGCCAGTTGCAGTCAATCGAGCATCCGCTACATCTAAGCCGGGGCACATATGCTTCTGTTATAGTTGGAGTGAGGGACCCGCGCTTTGCAGTTCGTGCGTCGATTCTTCGAATCCCCTGCTCCTGCATGAGTCTGGACACCTTGGCAATATCCCAGGCCGCCAAGTATAACCACTGGTGGTTTCATAAATGCGAAACATCAGTGGAAGGTACCGGTGTTCCAATTATGGGTTGACAAGTTGTGCGCTGAAGTGATTTGTCACACTTTTTTGACTCCATCACGGGTATCCTTAGACCACGCTGCATAATTGATTCTCCCTTAGTCTCCACCCCACACGCTTTCGAATGCTCTATAATTCATCATTTTGAAAACCCCTAGATAACATTTTAGGCGTTTTGTCTCAAGCACCAAACAAGTTGTATGCTTCTCACCGTCTTCGATAGAATCTCATCTTTTGTACCAAGCATACCTTCCGTTTTCTTTTTCAGCTCTATTGTCAGAACCTCTGCCTTTTGGCAAAGCTGTTTTTAGATCACAAAACTCTCTACTACGACGTCGCGCCGTTCATGTTTTATGTATTGTGCGAATCGGACCGCGAGGGATATCATGTAGTTGGATATTTCTCAAAGGTGAGTGCAGGATTCTGCATCATATCACGGGGTTAATAATTGTTGTTCCTGTATATCGGCACGAGTAAACTTGTCCAATCGGAGGTGTATCTGAACACCCACTATCCGCTTGCCCGCATAAGATAGCTATCTCTCACTAATCCTGGTAAGCAGTCAAGCCTCTTACATCTACATTTTTCATTGTACTTGCGGTTGCAAGTACGTGCCCCGGACTGTGAAAAGGCTGTCCACTAGGATTTCAGATACAGCCACGCAACCTGGTGACAAACGGCCTAAACCTGCCCGCTAACTTCGTCGCTCGGCAAATGTTTGATTGCCCTGCGTGCCACCGTTCGTGGGAATCGTTCAGGATTATTAATCGACAGTTTGTGTGCTTCATCAATTCGTTGCCCTGGTACGTTTGTCGATTACATTCATTTAAACTGAACGATTTCACACCTTCCCCCACTGTATAACATACTAATTCCACAGATTGTATGTAATCAACGGATGAGACTACGCGAAGCGTTTGAATTTTGATTATTCTGTTGGAATGTTGTTCCCTCTTGCTATCTTGGAGTATATAATTGGAAAACCCTCTAAGAAACCGCTTATTTATACTTTCGCCTGTACGTACGCTCATCGAAATGGGTTTGTGTCGACTGCATTCCCACATCCACATCGCTGACAGATTACACGGACTCGGTCGTTCAAAAATGTATGACACTGATATTCCGAAGAGTTGGTTACGTCTCCCGATGCAAACGCTTTTTGTGGTCTGTACCTACTTAAGCCATTGCGTCCAGCGTCATGGATTCTGTACTCGGACTGAATACTGATGCCACCACGTCCTCTTGGTCTGCCAGTTGTTGTCATCCCTACTACAATCACTCATTTTTCGGTCCTAGTTAGCTTGCGTATCTTTCGTGCCCTGGGCCCGGGTTTCATCCGCCTACTCTAACCTTCGTCTACCTCCTTTTCATGAGTTGAACATGCACTCAAGCCTCAGTCATTTCAGATTCGTCGCCTTTTCTCTGTTAGAGTAGTCATTTTCCCCATAGTTTGGCAAATGCGACGTATGAAGTACTGTGGTTGTAGGGTGCTTTTTCAGTACTCACTAGCACCTGCCACTAGTGCTAATTGTGATTGAATGCTTCCTTACATTGTCGGTTTATAACATAGCGATTCCTTTTGTCGTATTGGTTTGAAAATCCGCGAAATTTTTGGCAGCACTTCACTGTTGACGGATTTGTTACCTCATTTTTTTATCTTACTCTGTTTTGACTATCAGGAGAAAATGTCAGCAGATAACTACAATTTGGCATGTATTCTTACCCTCCCGCCTTTTCAAAAACGTGGCATCGGACGGTTCTTGATCACATTGAGTAAGTGGGCAGATTTCATTCGGCACTAATACTGGCTCCCGTATGTGACCATTTTTCGTTAGAAGCTCAAATTGTGATGATTTTTTCTATCTTCACAGGCTACGAGCTAGCGAAACTGGAACACACTATTGGTACGCCGGAGAAGCCACTTTCAGATTTGGGACGCGTTAGCTACCGGAGCTACTGGGAGGATGTGATCTTCCACTACTTGCTACAGCATCCGGATTGCTCGATCAGCGAGATAAGGTGAGCGCATAGAGTGAAGTGCTCGTTACTCTGTGTCAATTTACCACGAATCATTATCAAACCGCGTCCCATTGCAACTACCTGTTAGCGCCCTAGATCTACTCATACCAGACTAGCTAATGTTTACAGGCCATATCAATTCGACCTCAACATTCTTTTCATCGGAATCGAAGATTCTTCAAACTTCAGTCGATTGGGAAAGTAGTTCAGTCAACTGGATCGGTTTGTAGGGCGCACGTTTAGCAGTGAATGACTGCGGCTGTCTTCCTTGCCAACCGTCTCCAACTAGGCGGCACAACTCTCCTGAGACTTCGCTTACAGATGTATCACCTCTTATGATTATCTTAAACTTATTGAAATGACATGTAACCAATACTAGGCGAATTCTCTACGGATTTATGTAGCCATACTCTTGGACTGAACCGGCTTCTCATTGCCTTTTGGGTCAAATTGTTGAATCAAAAGCCATTGTAAGTATCTTCGAACGAAACCTTTTTCAGTACTGGTAACGCGAGAACGTCATTTGTCCGCAGTGCTCCGTTGACAGTACTCTTCCTCTTCTCCAAATGTTTCTCTATGTTGATCAGCAGAAAACTGCCACCAATTTCGTACCTCTTGTCATTGAGATGGCTAAATTGTCTTCCGAACCAGAGGCCCCATTTCGCACTATTTCCTTCCAAGCTCTCACCGTAAGTCAAGTGAAGTCAAGGAAGCTTTATGCACCCAAATGGATGCATTTTCGGCCGGATTGCTTAACACGTTGCACTGGTTATCAGTTTAGAATCCTTTAGAATCTGACGGTCTTGTGCTGCCGAAACACATACATGGCAAGGATGGTTTATCGCGGTCAGCTTTTCGCCAGGTAGTTCACCACACACCCGGGAAAGCGGGTGGCCGTCATTTCGTCTTAATTGGGACTCGTCAGTAGTGCACATTTTCCGGTCCCCTCGGGAATCGACTCCATGACACTACTAGACCACGGGGACGGCGGCGGACCACCCTGATTCACAATTACTGCTATGTAGCGCGGCTCATTCTCCCTTTTAGTCTTATTTTTTGTATCGCGGCAGATTAGCTGAGGTGTGTTTCTCACTCTCAGCTAACGTGTACTGATGATGATGATGATCATTCTCCACAACGATGCAAGTTACGAACTTTGCGAGGAACAGGGTTGGCCTCCTGAACTACAATTTCTCGTGCGGAGTCTATGCATAGTGTGTCTTTTAATAGCATCGTAATAGACAAGTGCAAGCTCTGATCCTGCGTCCCCAGGGACGAGTCGACAGCACACATTGCTTACGGTGTCGATGTTGTCCTTTCCAGAAATGCTAGCGACAGTCTACTCAAGTGGGTTTCAGTGAATATTCTTATGCATGCAATTCGCCATTGAACTTCCGTGGGGGTTAGTAGTCACCGTCTGCTATAAGCCTCAACTATTGGCAGCTCTCATCCTTTATAGGTATGCGGGTGTGATCGCTGTTGGCGAAACAAATGCTTAAATGGACTGCTTATCAGATTCCGAACAACTGCTTATAGTAAGCGGTGTTCTTTAACTGCCCTGAATACAACTCTTATTGGATGCGCCATTTCCCGACGTAAGCGTCCACATCACCTAGTACGGCGCCCATCTAACCCAACGGTTTTCCTATACCTACCTTGACTTTATTGCCAATAGTTGCAGGTTGCACACACGAATCCAAGTTAGTCGATCCATTTGCAATTCCAACCTTGAGTCTTAAATTTCTCTAGTATTTGCTTGCATGGTGTTCATTGCCTCGGCCTCAGAGGTACGCACAACTTCGAAGCTTCTTGCTCACCGTATGGTCTAACACTCTGTGGTTACGCCGAGCTGGTTCGCCAGTTGTCACCGCCAGATGTCAACATTTCGTGTTATCTCTTCAGTGCCAACATAGTAATTAAAAAAGATCTACATCGAGCTACCATTTAAGGGAGATTTTGCCAATATGAAAACAACGAAGCGCACAACTTCCGCAGTCCAGAGGACTTATTATGCTGCCGAAACTGTTCTTATCAACCGAACTAATCGAATACCTGTTACCCCAATGACGGAAAGATAACCTGTTGGTGCCAACTCACATTGTATTTACCAATTTATTTGTAGTTGTGGTATACACTACATCGGCCGTACCTATAGATCGTTGAACTCCAAAATAAGGGGACGTGTACCTAGATGGTTGCAGCGTCAAATCACCCAGTCGTCGGTCGCTCGTTCCATCTGCTTCATTCATAGGTAGGCATTTACTGGTCATCTGTCATCAGTTTGATCCGGCCAAAATGTTTGCAATCGTGTTAAGACATGCTAACACCCGTTTCCTACGTTTCGCAGAGGCAGTCGCAATCAGCCGTATCAAACCCGCACTCTGTGTGCAGAAACAGTTGTTCGTAAGCCTACGGCTGCCCTGGGCGTAGGGGTGTCACGCCTTCCCCCTACCCTGTTCTAACTTGTTCCGGTCTCACCCAACCTATCGTCTTATATATTTTCATGTTATTGTGTTGGCACTGAAGAGACAATACGAAATGTTGACACCTGCCAGTGTTCGTCTTCTTACGGCTTTATTCACCTAAATTCTGCCGGAACGTTGCCAGGACAAGTTTGATCCTTCTGCTCTTCCTCATATCTCTTCTACTTTCACATAATTGTCCTATCCACCTATTGCGGACTGATTGTTCCACTAGCTGACCGATGAGCACGGACGGTACCACTCTCTTGGAACCGGGTCCAAATCCGCTACAGGTGCCTCCGAATTGACTGGCATAGTTTACTACTTGATTCAGCGCGTGCTTCCCACCCTCAAAACTCAATGCTGTTTTATTGAACTGAGGCAACAAGTGGCCATTGCTCACAATCGCTGAACATCTATTTCGAGAGGTTGGCTCACAAGCAGTCCTTGCTCGCACTCTGGAAACCGGCCATTGATGTCTGCTGCCTCAGTGAGACCTGTTTACAGGGCTAGCACGACGCTACCACTGGTTTCACTGCGAGTTCCACTGGCATTTTCACATAGCGCCTATCTAGAGACAACCGCCGAAGCCGCTGGTCTTGCTGGCGTGGGGTTTGCGTCGAGCACACGTGCGGAGGCCGCGGTACTAGACTGGATCCCTGTCAAAGGTCGACTCCGCGCGATCCGAGTTGAAATCTCATTGCGACCCTCCAGGCACGGAGCCAGAAAACGTTGTTTGTTTATTGTCGCAGCGTACGCTCCCACATAATGCAGCCCGGAATCAGTTAAGGACGAGTTTCATGGTCAACTGCCTGACTTACTCCGTAAACGACGCCGCATCTACATCGGGTGTTTGTTGGGGACTTGAACGCTCAGATGGGTAGACTTGAGGTTGGCGAACATGAACTCGGTGGTCAACTCGACCATGGTGTTCGCACAACAGACAACGATGATCACTTGCTTCAGCTTTGTGCCGATCATGACCACTTTCTGTCGAGTATTGGCTTTCGGGGATCCTGGCGCCAACACCTTACCTGGAGCCCCCCATCATCTGGCCAGCCGTGGGCACAAAGTGACCACATCATCATCAGTTATCGCTGGCGGGGCTTTTGCAGGATTGCAAATCAACCTGGAATACCTATCTCACTTTGGATCACGCGCTGGTGTGTGCCAACGTCGCGATACGTTTTCGTGGCTCCCACCAGCGTCGCCAGAAACGGCTTGAGGTGACTGAGCTTCCTGCCCAAAACGTTCTCTGTGCACTTCAGGATGCTTTGGCCTCACGGCTGAAGACTGCCTCATGCGCTGACATTATAACACATGGACACATTCGCGTAGCCATGTACAACTCTGCAACCCTGGTCTGTGGCTTCACCTGTAGTTCTGTCAGCCACTGGTTCTCTGCGCGATCGCTCCAACTACTCGAGGCTCATTGAGTAATTCCTGCTGGCATTATCTACTATTCACTGTGCAGGACTACCAGCACTGAGCTCAAACAGCTTCTCTTGCAAGATCATGAGGCCTGGTGGACGCAGTGGGTCATTGAGATGGAGCAAGTGGCTACCTCGGGGAATTTCCGTAAGCTTTTTCTCCTGATCCAATTCACTGACAACTGAAGGCCGACTGTAAGCGAAACCAATGGCGAGCCAATCTGTTGTCATAAACGCCGACTTGTGTGTTGTGCTAAGCATTTTGAGCAGCAGTTTAATTGGTCAGCAGCACCGATGAGTCCCCATTCAGGAATCCAGAGTGCATCCTGGTGTGTAAACGCTTCACCACCATCTGAGGCTGAGGTTGCCCATGAGCTTCGTCTCTTAGAGCGCTGCAAAGCCCCTAACCTAGATGAATTCCCCCCGGCTCTTTTCAAAGATGGAGGCCCATCACTTGTTCGGGAGTTACTTTCCCTCATCCAAGAGATTTGGATTACTGTAGTTATCCCATATGACTGGAGCCTAGCGAATAACGTGCCTATCTTCAAAAATTTACCCGGACTGACTGCGCCAACGACAGATGGGTTAGTCTCTTTTTTGCTTCCAAGATGTTATCCCTTCTGCTTTTACGGAGACTCAGCCTGATACGCGAACACAGTATACGTAAAGAGCAACCTGGGCTCCGCTCAGGTCGGGGTTGCATCGATCACATCTTTGACCGGCCGCCTATCCTTGTATTCCTAGACATATGAGCCTCGTTTGGGTCAGTTGACTGAGTTGCTCCCTGAAGTTCTCTACTGAGAAGGGGGTTGATCGAGAAGTATGTCACCATTCTTCAAGTCATGTACTCTCAAACCTCGGGCCGAATGCGGGTGCACAACCGACTCCCGCTCCCCCTTAGTATCACCAGTGGCGTAAAAAAGGTGGCCCAGCATCCTTCTTTTTCTATTTCGCTATGGACGAAATCCTGGAGTGTGTACTGAAGAACTGCGAACCCAATGGCGTCGGGCTGCTTTCGGGGGACGGACTTCTGGATTTGGTGTAGGTAGACGAGATCGACATAATTTACGATTCCCCACATGCCGCTCAAAATGTCCTGTATAGGTTGGAGGTGTCTGTTTTCCAGTTTGGGATGACCGCCCTGTCGAAGTGCAAGATCTTCCAGCAGGACTGGCTAGGCGCTGCTCCTATCCTTACCCTTTCAAGTCATTCGTTGGAAGTGGTAGACAAGTTCCTTTACCTCGGTAGCTGCCTCAGCGCTAATGGTTTAACGGACGAGGTCTCTTTGCGCGTCTCCAAGGCTCGGGTTGCTTTTGCCAATCTCCGCCATCTCAGGTGTCGAGGCGATCTGAGTCCATCTCTAAAGGGCCAAGTTTACAATGCCACGATGAGAGCGGTCCTGCTCTATGGCTGCGAAATTTGGCCTGTTCGCGCCAGAGATGTCGAGAGGCTGCCTGTTTTTGATCACCGCTGCCTTCGGAGCGTTGCTGGTGTACGATGGCAACCTCACACTAGGAATGAAGATGTCCGACGTAGGATTTTCAGATCAGACAGGCTTTGCCGCCAACTGAGCAGCATACTTTCACTGCGCAGACTTCAGTGGCTTGGGCACGCCTACTCATCGTTTACCTCGCTGTGCCCTCTTCGCGCGTCTAGAAGTTGGCTGGAAGCGAAAGCAAGGTGGCAAACGCATGACTTTGGCCAGAAGTATGAAGAAGCTGACCTGAAAGTTAACGTTGATCGGGCGCTCCCGACTACCTGCCTCGAGGCGCAAGGAGCACGAGCACGCATGGCTGGAAGCCTTCTCGGATATGGCAAGAAACCGTGCGTACTGGCGGACACGTGACATTTTTCTCTAATGAACACTTTCACATACTTTTTCTCCGTTTGTTTACTATATTTTCCATACTTTGTGTCACTATGCAAATTGTACTATTGGCCATGTGTTGAATACACATGTTATGTTTCACTGTACTTGTGTCATAATGGTGATAGCCGCTCCGTCTAACTCGCTTCGGCATTCAAACCCTAGTTGTGAGGTTGGTTGTGCGACCTCGCAAAGACCAAGTCACACAGTCTACGGGATACTTGTTCAGATAGTTTAGTTATACTCGTGCATACTATGTATCTGCATCATGTGCCTCAGTGTGGCTCGACTTTATAGTACCTTTCTCTATCTGACTCCAACAGGCTCAGGGCAATTAGACTTATGTTGCTTGGCAACCTACCAGATTGTAATCACTGCTGGGAGTTACAATTACAGTTAGTTCCCCCTGATTTCACGAAGTGCCGATTAGAGAAACCATCACCCACCTGTTGCCTACCATAATTTTAGCCTTTCCATAAACAGTGTGCGCTACGTTTGCTTTCTTCGTTCTGTAAATTCCAATATTCAGAGATTGTGGAGCGTCTAACTCAAAACAATGTACTTTTGTTTTGACTCACTGCTAATCTCTCGCTTGATCCCTATCTCTTTTTCAGTGAGGCCACCTCAATTACCGAGGAGGATATCTTATGGACATTGAAGTACCAACGCGGCGTGCAATTGTGGCGTGCCGGTTTTCATGCATACATCCAAAATGAACAGCTTGAATTTCACCTGCGTCAGTTGCGCAGGAGTGGGAGAAATGCCCGCAACAAAATTGTCGCCAACGTCGGCTCTGGCGACCGAGAAGCTGAGCAAAAATACGTGGAATTTGATGTCTCATGCCTTCGGTGGAATCCTCCCATAAAGCCGTCGCTAAACTCTCCCTCCGCTTAAATGCAATCTTTGTTTATGTATGTTGTATCCCGAAAAAGCAGCAAACCAGAGCAGCACCGGAACGTATGTATGGAAAGCTGTCTGCACATATGCGCGTTAAAGCCAAATCGATAGGCGTTAGAATTGCAACTAATCAGATGCAGGAGAACTTGGCTGGGCCAATGAGTGTTAAGTAGAAGTGTGAGTGATCTAAGCGAATCGAGAGCATAAATCGAGCAAAGTACCAGAACACGAGATTGTTCCTCCTCTGTTCGTAAAAATATAAGCACTACATGTCCATGAGCGATCTAATTTAATGTCAGCACCCCGAAGAATTGTCATGTGGTGTTACCCGTTAAAGCGTATCGGTAGACAGGGCGGCGTATCCGACCGGAACGTCGTAGTGTGTTTGTATCGAGCGTTGTGTTGTAGATGTGTTTGTCTGTTCAGTAGCACGTTGGGAAAGCGCTGCATGCAGCCGTCTTGCATTCACCCATCGGCCAACTTGTAAGTTCTTGGCGTGCACACAGATTCCACACGGATCGGGGGTCCGAACACATTACCTTTCCGGGAATAGAGTAGTCTCACACGAACAAATGTCCCTGGGGAATACGTTCTCCCAACGCGTCTATACTTAATCTGGTAAACAGCCCGTCTTACTTATTTTCTCTTATCGGCGCTTTCTTCGGATGTAAAGGCTGCATTTAATCGAGTTCGAATTGTTCGCCCTAGCATTAGCTCCAAGGCGGTCCTTGCCGTTGCAGTATATGGAGTGGTTCTGTATACCTCCAATGCAGATACCAACGCATCATCCCAGGATTCTCCCGAAAGCCGAAGGACCTGTGGGGATTCTTTCAAAGTACGATTAAATCGTTCGACGAGTCCATTCGCTGCAGAATTATAAGGTACAGTTCTCGAGTGTCTGATACTATTGCGCCTTAAAATTCGGCGTACTCGTTACTTCGAAAGTGTGGGCCATTATCATTGACTGTTTCTTCTGGCACCCCGTACCTTACAAACAAACAATAGAGCCACTATATGATGACGGCTGTAGTAACGTCCCCGCACATAATAGCTTCTGGTCATTTGTTGTAGAAGCAGGTAGCAACTAGCACGTTTCGCTTCTGCGGGGATGCGTTGGCAAACGCGCCCATAATATCGATGGCAATTTTCGCCCAAGACTTCATTAGGTACACGATAGTTTAGACCGGAGCACTCTTATCAAATTGTTGGCAGGCGTAACATTCCCGAATAACCGCCTCGGTGCTGGAATTCAACTTCGGCCACCAGTAGTGTTGTCGTATCCGAGCTTTTGTTCGCACAATCCCTGGATGACCTTCATGCGCACATGCGATCACCAGAAGAATAAGGGTTGCAGCGATCACAAACTGCTCGCAGTAGGAAGCTCGTGCCGCAGGGTATAATATGGAAGTAAATCAGGTTAGATCTCAATATGACTAGGCCATGAAGTGGATATGTACTCCCGAAGCTTCGCTAGGACAGGGTATTTATCAGTGTGCTCTCGTATCAGGTCAGATGTTATTGTAGATGTTCCGTCTAAGATATGTGATATCATTTTTACCTCCTCTAACTCCTCGTGTTCCCTTTCGTTGGACAGCGGGAGTCTCGACAGGGCATCTGCAAGTTGGCTAAAGCACCTTGGCACGTTTTTTTTATTTCGTAACCGTAGTTTGATAAACATGAGTACCAGCAAGCGTACCGGGTTTTGGCCTTTGTTACCTCGACAGTAGCGTTGTAAGAGCAGAATGATCGGTGCACAAAGTGTATCGACGTCCGAATAAGTACAAGCGCCATTTTTCACATGCCCAGACGCATGCAAGGGCCTCCTTTTCGCCGGTAGAATAATTTATTTCAGTATCCGACAAGATACGCGATACGTAGGCAATCACTTTCTTCTCGCCATCGTGCAGCTAGGATAGAACGGCACCCAAGCCAATATCTGAAGCATCCGTTGAAATAAACGTTGGGCAGCGCTTATTGAAAATCGCTACTGTATGTGTGGATTCAATCATCGCTCGTATGGTCATGTCGTGTTCAGTGTCCCAACGTTCTGGGTTTACGAATACGCTGACCGCGGCATCATCCGTAACGGAGGAAGTATGCTTGCTCCTCCGGTTTCTCACTAGGCATTCGAAGTTAACCTGGTGAGTTACAGTGGAACCATTTGGATTTGCAACGGAGAGGCTACTTTACTTCGCGACAAAACGTCCACAAACCCCCCGTTTCTTGTAACAGCCCCCTATCCCGATGTGTAAGTATTCTCAGCACAGCTCAATTCCACCGAGTTCATATTGAGCACGATAACTTCGTTGAGTGACTATGTTTTCCTTGAGTTACTTCCTTTCCTTAGGGATCATCAGACAGCCAAATGTGGAGCTCCAAACCTCTACCCTACCCTGAATTTAATAAAGTGAGCTTTTTTATCACGGTAGAGCGTTGTATGGAGTACAAGTTTTCCTTGGGCAATCAGATGGCTCAATAGCAGCATCTTAGATGCTTCTCGGAAAGGCATCAGCAGTACGCCGGTACGCAGTACCGACGCTTCGCTGCTGCACAACCACCACCAGTCGCACGTGAGCTACCGGTACTGCGAGGGTCGCCCGGTCCCTACGCGAGCTCGAACCCGCTCCCTCAGATTACAAGACAGGCTTATGATCTTTAACATTATGGGCCGGAGCCCAAGGCTGTACTGCTCATGCACTAAAACCACGGTTATTGCTTGGGATATTTCAATCCTGACTGCAAAATCATTTTACATTGTATACTTTGCGCGTGCACAAGTAAATCAATCTTTGATTAACCTACTGTGCCCACGTTCACCATGAATCGCGAAGAGTGTGGTGCTCATATCCTTGTCACTTGACGCAGCTTGAGCAAGCATCAGCGACGTTCGGGGACACTTGGATGCACGTTGATTCATTGTTGTTTTTCTGCTGCACCTTCAAATGAGTGGAACCTTGTTGAAATTGAATGCTTAAGTGAGCTATGTGTTGAATACTGCCTCTTGAACACGTCAGGTTCTAACAATGTGATACCAACTCTCCTAGACGGATGAACGAACGAGACTCAGAATTATTTCTCGCACGGCACGGTAACTGACACTCTCGAAGTCTGTGGGTTTTCGGAACTTAGCCGCGAAAGATTAATTCACGCGAGTGGAACAGGTCCCTAGACCGAACGCAAAGTTTCTACGCACGATTTCCCAACCCAAGACTGAAGCAAGAACAAGACAGGCCTTTGCCACAGGCGCTTTTACTGGCCAAAGCTAAGGCGATTCTAGCGTTGTACAGCCTCATTTTTATATCACGAAACGGTGATGAAGGGGAGTTTTTCCTCGGAAGGGTTTGCGTAAGCAAACCCTGGAAACAAGAAACATGGTTTTATGTAAATGTGCAAAGTCCGTAAACTGAGCAGAAATGTTGGAAGTTTAACGAGAGTTGTCCGGAAAAATGAATATTGCTTGGATACAACAATGCGTCTTTGGTTGGAAACAAGACTGTTTCTGGGTGCAAAGGCTAAACAATGTGCATGTTACACGAGTTGGAAGGCTGACTGAAACTTGTGCGTTTTGTCTGGTCTGAGTACATGTGCACTCGAGTGAATCGTGTTTTCAGCCTTCCGTAATTAAGCCTGTAATAATTATAGGGACGTTGGGTCCCCATAACACTATGTATTCGCTTTAGTCACACGAGTAGGCATTTGAGGCTGAGACTGGATGCGGCCCATGGGCTTCGGAATTACGCATCAACTCTTGCCATCTGGTTTAGGCATGGAAATTGCTGTGGTGATGGATAAATGCATCTTCATTGGAAACGCACACGGCACGACAAACCCCCGTTCATGAACCTATGGATGTGATAACCTAAAACCCTGTTTCTTCTAATACCCACTGATTTGAACCATAAACGGAGTATCTCCTGGAACGACTCGGCTGTCACTATTGCAAGTTTGACCACACAGTATCGATGAAACCCGATACGCAGTTTTGCTTTCTGAGCGTGATACGGCGCCCTGACCCGATAGCTTTCTTTCATCGTTGAAAGACTTGGGAGACTCAGTTGTGTTCGGCCTGGCTACTTCGTCGAACTATATGAAATTGTTGATCTCTGCATGACAATGGTTAACTATCATATCACTCTTTCTAAAGGGTCATAGAACGTCTTGTTAGCGTCACTTCGCCATTCGCCGTGGTACGAGTCTGTATGCATTGCTCACAAACATCGGGTTGCATCAGCCCCCGCATGCCCTTTGGGACAACGTCAGATTGCCCTCCCCCGGATACGGGTTGCGTTGATCACATAGTTACCATTCACTAATTGATGCTGTATCGAAACCCATACAGATGACTCATTATACTATCCTTACTTGGCCTGAGCTGCGCCTTTGCTTCAGATTATTGCACTAGGTCGTGGGGCCGCATACCCTTAAGGAGTGTGCTAGAAAAACCTTTTGTTCCGAACAGTCCTCATCGAGGCCAAGTAAGAGCCTACGTAGTGTCTTGTTTTTCGCACACCACGACAATCAGTTCGTCGGAGGTTCCTGAAATCCTTTCCCCGCAACATTGATTTCGATCGATGGCCTATTCGGTCTTTTTAAGCGTGCAAGCTCAGCGTGGTGGCCACTGCGCATTTCGACATGTGCTTCGGCCTTTCTCGACACATGCCAGTTGCAGAACTGGACAGAAATTTCAGGCATCCGCCAAAAGTTTCTGATCGGTTTACTGGCCTGAATTATTGCGCCCCCTCCAGCGACGTCGTTGAGGGTCTTCATATTCGTCACTGTCTTAGTGATCAATTGTGTGATACGCCCGTGTTACTGTATGGAACAGACACCGGCCGAGTACTCGTTACTTTCATCAAGAGCTTAGTACTTCTCGATCACCAGTGCTTGCGTAGCATTGTTTAAATCTGTTGGCGTTTCCGGTGAAAATTGCTGGAATTCCCTGATGCATCGCTAACCCTTCTGCACCTGAGTCCTGTACTTTGGTGTAGTCTGTTCCTTCGTTTTTCTACAGACCACCTGCCTCAGCATGCGTTGTTGTTAGACAGGTCACCCGGTTGTGGGAGTCCCCACGGCGGTCATCTGATCGCTTGGCAAGTAAGATCGTGACGAAATTAACCGATACGCATAGAGTATACACGAATGTGAGGCTCTGAATGAATCACAACGGTGGTCAGAGGTTTCGTCCGATTTACTGTGATCGCGAAAATAGGGAAATGTGTTGCTGCAGTTTTAATTTAGTAATCGCATGCAGCTATATATACTTCAGATGCGGTCCCACTGGCCGAGTTGATTGGGGCTCATTTAGATTGTGTATCACAATCCA